ATGTGCCTGGCCCTTATTGCCGTCCTGGCTGTTGGCCAAAGTGATTTCTGGTTGTGAGGGAGTGAACAAGTGAGGATTATTACGATTTGGAAGGAGCTCAGTTCTTGCTTGCTGAGAACTCTGGAGACATAGAATGGGACAAAACAAGTACAGAAATGTATCACAGTGGGGGAACTGATAAGGAGACGGCATACTCCTCCACATTTCAGCTATTTGGGACATGGCCCACAGGCTGTTGGACAACTCGCATGCAGAAGTGGGTAAACCTGGATGCAGGAGAACATGAGATTTTCTCTAAGGTCTGTGTGTATCTCCCACTCGGAGGCAATCATACATCAGCAGATTTGTATTCTGATCATGGAGGGGTGAATCCCAGTGGCTTCCCCATAGCTGTGATTCTGCCCCTCATCTTTCATGGCCACGACTAACCATACGGCCTCAGGAACAGCGGCACAGTGTTAAAAAACATGAGAGTCTTCAGAAGTCTACAGCAGAGCCTCTGCTGCACTCTTTTCAAGAGGAGGGAAAAACAGTTCAATGAAAAAGTAAAGATGGGACACCCCCCTGCCCCCAACCCCAGTATTTTTTCAAGGTACAAAAGGACTTCTAAAGAAACTGTCCCACCTCCTGCAGAACAGGACAATTGAACTCTGACATCCATGGGGCATTTCCAAATGAAAATTTATGATATTTTAGGAATCTTATTTTGGGGTGTGGGGAAAGAAAGGAGGAAAGAAGGAAAGTAGGTTCCGTGGAAAGCTGCCATTCTTCATTGAATCAAAAATAGAACTTCTTGGAAGTTTTCCAAACAGGCATTTTTGTGTGGAAAACACTAACTCTGCAGATTGGGCACTGTCCAAGTTAAAATACACATCAGTTTTGGACAGGAATAGAGGTAGGGGTCTAGATGTGTTCACTCTCAAATACCTGCCAAATAGTCCCTGCTATAGCATGACATGAGACACTCACAAAACCTGTTACTTTTCTGTAGCGCATTATAAGTCTGGCTTTGGGTGTCCAGCTGTGCATCCACAGGGTTTCTTGGAGGTCTTAGGGAGTCCTGGAGTGTAGTTTGCCTTTTACAGTCAGTGGAGATTCAGTTGGTACACTTACTGGAGTCCCTGAGCTTTTTTTCTTTTTGTCTGAGTTTGACACCTGCTCCTGGAGAGATGACCTGTGCCTGGCACCACAATGTGCAGTGAGGAGACTGAAGAAGGGATGTCAGTGTGGTTTTTCAGGAATGATAACAGCACTGTTTTGTTCAGTCCAAGTGTCTTTTTCTGAAGAATAAATCCATGTATAGCATAAGTCCAGGCACAGAAGGAGCAGGAAACAAGCTGGGAAACTGGACACCCTCTGGGCTGTGATGGAATATGGCATTTTCTAGAATTTAAGGATTGCTACGTTGATATCTACTAGGGTTGGTGTTTCACACTTGATATTGATGCTTGCCATGAGTCTTTGGGCAGTGGCTGAGGACTGGAAGTGGGAACAGTTTTTAGCTTGGGAGGCTTCCTCCTCCCACTAAAAAGTCCCAGACTTAACCTTGCTCTACATTTGATCTCATGTATGGTAAGGAGAATTCTGAGTTTTTTTCTAGCCCTCTTCAAACTCTTCCTCTTTCTTCAATGCTTGTCATAACAGTATTGGATCACCCACCTTTTCTATCTGCTTCTCTGCATACACCTGCCCATGGAATTCCTCTGTGCTTCACCTTGTGCTGAATGCGATGCTGTTCTTGGTGAGTCAAATCCAACAATGCATCATCAGGATGAAATGACCTGACTTTCACCTAAGGAAGGCATGGTGCCGACACTCCTCTTTGGTTCTACACCATGAGAAAATCCTTTATAGGATAGGTTTGTGTTCCCTTGCTCCACCTGTCCTCAGTCTCACATTATCTCCCTTGGAGCCACACACTGCATGCACCCCCAGCGAGCAGGGCTTGGCCACCTGGGGCTGCACTGAGAATACCTGATTGTTTCACTGTAATTTGGAGGGAGAAGGCTGTGTTCTTATTCTCGCCTGGGGCACAGCACAGCTCTTGAGCAGGACTAGTATTTCTGGTTTCTTCACAATACCAACTTTATCAGCCAGATGAAAGCTGAACGATTGAGTTTTTCCAGAGGGTCAAAACAAGCTTGGCTAAAGCCTTATGCCAGTTAGCTGTGTCCTCCGAGTGCCCATGGCTGGGGCTGCCCAGAACACGGCCACTGGTGCAAGCAGTCTCTCTCTCTCATAAACACATAGAGCAGCTCAGCATTCTCTTGCTTCTGTATTTTCATGCTTCAGTTGCTCAGAATGATGCCAGAAACAGAAGGGGATTCAGTAGAGCCAATATATATATGTCTGCATATGTATGCAGGTAGGTGTACACAGGTGTATGAAAAATGGGCTAAGAACAGCTCTTGCTTTTGGATAGTATAAAGCTAGCATTTTTGCCAGTAGTAACTTCCAAAGTGTAAAGAGAAGTCACAGCAGAGCTGATCCCACATGGTGTTGTCACTGATGGGGCAGGAGAACTGGCTTCAGTCATACTCCTAGCACGTGAAAGGTTATGTTCCTGTTTGGCAGCCTGTCATTTAGATAGGGATAAGCTCCAGCAAGACTAAACCAGAAGCTAAGGAGAGGGGGGAGGCATGGAATGTATTGAAAAATGCCCTGAGAAGGGAGGCAGAGGACACAGAGGAGCCAAGCTTGTTCCTCTGTCCAAGTATTGAAGTATTCAAGCTTGCAAGGACGCGAGTCATATGATCTGTGCAGGCCACAGGCATCTCTCCTGCAGAGAGGGCAGATGGTACACTAGGTCAGGATGTCTCATGGAGAGAGGCTGAGCACTGAGAGAAGGATGGCAGGTTTTTAAGGAGCAGTACAACCCATAGCTCTGAGAAGCAGGGTCTGGCATGTGTGAGCAGACTGGGATGTTAGTTCCTCTGAAGAGGTACTACATAGCAGCTGAGTAGAAAAGTTAAACTGTTTTTTATCCACTGAGAAAGTTCTGGAAGGTGATGGTTGATCCTTAGGAATAGGATTAGTGAGCCAAAAAGCAGCTGTGATTAGGGGGTGGAAGTGCTACTGATGCACTCTCTCAAGGCTGGGCATGTGGTCCCTCATGTCTCTGTCTCTAAACTTGGGAAGCTGATTTTCTCTTCTTTTTTTTTGGCTGGCAACTTATGCTGGTTGTAAGCAGGTCTGTCTCAGTGTTGTGCTAATGGCAGAAGAGTTTGTGGAGAAATGGGGAATAGGAAGGAGCTTTGTGAAGTGGCTCATGCATTTCTTAGGTGTAAGGAAAAGTAGGAGTCAGCTGGGAACAGGTGTTTGGTTTTTGGGAACCCTGGGTGGGTAGAGGGTTTGGAGGACATCAGTGGGGTTTTGAATGATTCTAGGCAGGTAGCTCTGGGTGAATGAAAGGAAGACCTGCCTTTGGGAATTCTTGCTAGGGCTCCTTCTATGGCCACAAAGGCACAGTCATGCTTGTGGAAGCCACTGTAGCTACTGAAGGCTCATGACAGCTATGTGCAGAGGACCCCAAGGGTCAGGAGGCCGTGACAGGAACTGCACAAAAGCTTTAGATAAGACCAGCTTTCCTCCAAAATGCCTGACATCCAGGAACATGGTAACCAAGGTTGTTCATTTTAAGTGCAGCAGTATAGCACAGTTTGAGACTGCTCCGAAGAAAGCTGTCAAGTCTGGGACGTTGGCTGGGATCCACCAGACACAACAGGGACATGCCTGCAGCAGGGTTAGGAGTGCCTGTGCTGTTATCTTTTGGTGGAAGGGGGTGTTGCTACCTGCCTGCCAGCCTCTCACCTGCATGGGAGACACCTACGCAAGGTAGTCCTGCAGCCCTGCAGGGGCAGAAATGACCAAGCTACCTGAGCTAGGTGTGAAGTGAGGCATCACAGAATAGTGGTGAGATGGCCTGGCACATGCCTACACTATACCCAATGGACTTACTGTAACTCAAAGGACGATTACTTACTAAAGCCACATTTGTTGACTTTTTAAAGGAAAAAGCGGTGCCTCATCAAAAGACAGTGTAAGGCAAAAAAACCCAATAAAGTCACAGTGCCAGGAAGTACGGAACAAACCCATATCCCATCACAACTAACATGCCTGTATCTTTGCATCCAAAAATATTAGTCCATTTATTGCCCATTAAAAATTCCCTTTGTCTCTTCTCAGTTGTGGTGCATGCTTGAGATCTTAAAGATGGCATTGTCAGTCATTAATATTTGAGATTAATTTACTCATTAACTTTCAAATGCAGGACACTTTGAAAACCTTTTCCTAAGGGCATCCCTGTGTTCTTTTTGAGAGAGTTACTGTTGTTTTCCCACCTCCCCTGAAGGGTTGTTTTCAATACCATCTCTCCCTTTTAATCCTCTTTTCCTTTCATGTCTAACAAACAGTGTTAAACAGAACACTGGGGGAAAAAGCAGATCTCACACATTATAATCATCCATAGTTGACTGAAGAAATGCTTCACAATTAGAGGTCTCGTTTTGTAAATTAGTGCTCAAGAAGCTTTCTCCTATGTATTTGCCAGATAAAACCTCTGTTCTTCGGAGCTCGTATGTACAGTAACTAAGATAAAGGGTTTCTGAGTTGATATGCACTCTGTACAGAGACTGAGCTGCTACAAACAGGATTTCTCTTATGAGATCCTGTACAGACAGATGTCTAGAGATGTTCACACAGGAATATGGGCAATACTGAGATGCTGAACTATGACAGAAAACATTACATTTCAAAACTGGCCATTGTTTCTGCTGGGTGTTTTTACAATATGCCTTGTTTTTTCTTGCTGTTTTTGCCCTATATATCTGAGCACTTTAAGATGTGAATATATTTTTAGTCACAATTTTTCCGTGGGATGGTGTGGAACTCCACATTATACAGATCTGAGAGGCCATAGTTTGATGCTGCACTTCTTTCAGCAGCAGCGCCAACATAAGCATCCCCTAATTTCCCCTTCCCCTCTCCCACCACTCACTCACCCCTCAGCTGTGCCAGTTTCAATGCTGTGTGGGAAACAAATCGCAGAACACATCCAGGTTAAAAATAGCTGAAAAAGAGAGAGAGAGAGAGAGATGAATTCCAGAACCTACATGTACATCCAAAGATGATACAACAAAGCCTTTTGAGCTCAGACTCAATCTGTCTGTCCAACTCCATCAATAATTTTTACCTGATTTCACATAGGAAAGGTAGAATTTTCAAAAACTATTGATTTCCTTCCTAAATTTTATGCAAACTGATGTCTGGGTGAGAGATAGAGACCTCAGTTAAAGGATTACAGCCAGCAGTCACCTGGCTAGTGAGTATGTGCATGCTGGCTGGCCATGTATGCATTAGCTGATCAGCCAGCATATATGTACTTGTCTGCAGCCCAGTAAAGGGTCTTAGAGCATATAGCAAGGCAAGAGTCGGGCTTGTTGCAGTCATTTTATTTTAGGAGAGGAGAGAAGGGAGGTGACTATGAAGCAATGATCACAGACCCACAGGAAACCAAGAGCCATTAGTTCCACTGCTCGCGAAGCAATCTATTTCAAAAAAGCCTGAAATTCTACAAAATAAGACCTCCTCTTCAAGTGAGACAGTAAATCCTACAATTTGGGAGGAAACTGAGAGCTCAGCCTAACATTCCTGTTCAGACTTCAGCAACCACTTCTTCTTTTAGCACTCCAAACACCAGTGGAAACCACGGATACTGATTTCTTTCCCATAGTCAAATATCACTTAAAGCCCTTATTTCTCCTGAACTCTTTATAGCACTTGCTTAATCTCTGTTCCTACCTGCCTCCTTTCTAATCTACAAGAGCTTGCCACGAGCTCTGCTCCATTCTCTTCTTTTGTATCCTTCATGCTTCCCCTCTGGCCAGTGAATGGCCTCAACCTTGGTACAGGGTGGTACACAAAATATTCAGCAAATTGTATGTGAAAATGATGAGTATTTTGGTGCAAAAAGATGGCTCTTCCCCACCTCTTGGCAGGAGGAAGAGACCTTGCCACTTTTGCTGACCTTCAGAGGGGACTGTGTAGAATGGGAGTCACAGGTTGGAGTGTGAGTCATGAAGCACCCTATGAACTATGGCTGCAGTCCATGGACAGAAGGGGAAGGGTCTTAATGTTCCTGTTCTCACACCTTCTTTTCAGCAGTCCTCCCAGCTGAGAGTGCCGCCATCAGCTCTCCAGCACTTGAGGGTGTGCCCTCTGCCGTGCCCAGGAGACCGAGTGCCAAGCACACAGCCATCTGGTTGCACATGCAGGATGCAAGTGGAGCTGTGTGGCTGCTTTGCCTCTCTGCTTGGGAAGGGAGCTGCGGGCTGTCTCTGAGTCAGAAGCAGACACGGTCCTTAGCACAGAAAGCTTTCCTCAGAGCAAGTCTGATAGAAACCGTGTCTACTCCTACCATCTTTATGTTTCCCCAGTAACAGAGATTATCAGCACCATAGGCAGGTCTTGGGCTTCTCCAGGTGGGAAACCAGAGGTTTTGGGCAACTAGGGATTTTCCTGGTGTGGGAAATCCCTGGGTGGCAATAATCCAGTGTATTGGGCTCTGTGCCATCCCTGCTGCAAACACTCAGAAACGTTACTGGGATCTGTTTGCAGATACTCCAGTCTCACCACAGGTATGGAACAAGGTGTGACGGAAAGGCCTGAGATGGCTCCTAGGGAATCTGCATGCGTTAATTCCCATGTCATTGCATACCTCTGCGTCTGCTTCAGTCTGCGCACCGGGTTAGCTGCTAGAGCTCAGCTCAGCTCCTGCAAGAGAAGTGTCTTCCTAGACCTTCATAGAACTGATTCCACCTCCAGAACTAGTTTCTGTAGGGATTTTTTTTTCCCCCAAAGGGAAGAATACAACTATTTTGCAAAGGTGACAGACACTAGGGACCTGTAAAGGAGACCTAAAGCAGAAGCTAGGGCTGCCTTGCTGGAAAGGAGTGCTAAAAGGTCCCAACCCCTCTCCTCACCAGACACAGGAGCATAAGAGGTGCTGGTGAATTGCTACCAACATGGAGCGGCCTCATGCAGAGCGGAGCAGACCTTACACTGCTGTAAGTGATGTTAGGATCTTACTTTATCCTTTGTCAACTACAAAATTTGGGGAAGTGGTGGCAGGGGAGAATGATCCGAAAGCTGGCAGAAATTGTGTAATTGGTGTATCAAAGGTCCTTTTCCTCTCCTCCAGTCACATTTTAACAGTACCCTATTTTATTCTATGTGTCAGTAAACAACAAAATCATTACTGATAAAACTTGCCTGAAGCAACAAGACACATGTGAACAATAAAGCATTAAGAGCCACATTTTCAAAAGTGTGTGTGCAGAAATGTCTATTGTACAATGTATAAGCAGCATGTGGTCTGGATGTGGCAAGCAGCAACGGGAGAGGAAAAGGGGAACAGATGGAACCTGTACATGAGTGACAAGAGCGGACGTAGGCTCAGATCAAGTTTTGCATTGTGCAGAGGCTGAGCTTTTGAAAAGCCTTAAATAATAACCACATTTTAAGGAGGATTGCACTAATGGGGCATGAAGATAAGTGCACTGAATGGTGGAACTGCAGAGGACATAGCAGTGGAGACAATGATATACACAGAGCATATGAAAAGTTTGGTCTGACATGCTAGCCATGCGTACAATCAAAGGTGTGCACATTTCAGAAACATCAGCCTCCCTGAAACCTCAATGACTTAGCAATAAAACATCAGGAAACGATAAGTCAGGGTCAAAAAGGTCTGAGAATTCCACACAGCTGAAATAAAGATTGAGCAAGAGGAATTAGCATCAAGAAATCAGATTCAGATGTTTAAAGCTGATTGTCTGAACCAAGTTAATATAATGCACCATGTGTCACTTCAAAACGTTCGGAGCGTGCAGCTGGGAAGCCCTTCCCAAGATTGTGAAATGCAGCAGCTCACTGTATCTGAGGAGGCTGGGGTAGACATGTCTGCCTGGACACGAGCAGGCTATAAATGATGAATTAGGATTACAGCCTTTACTGTCCCAGTTGAGGTTTATCAGTTCTCTGGGCCACTAGCACAGAAAAGAAGCCTGGCAGCAAGGCCATATGAAGCTCCTACCTTCACGTATTCTGGACTTGCCCTCTGTCTCCATTCATCTCCCCACGGACTGAAAATGGAAATGCTTTTGCTCTTTTAGCAAACTGCAAAGCACTCTGATGATCAGCACCCCTGTTCTTACCCCTGTTTAAAAGAACACCTATTCAGCTATCCAGTCTTTTCAAGGAAAATTATCCTCTGTCCATTCCACCGAGTCTAGTGTCGGAGTGCACAGCTCTAGAAAATCGTATTTACAAACCATCAATGCTATGGGACAATCATGTTTTCACTCGTCCTCACATAGGCACAGAAAAAAGCCTTTACCCGTATTAATACAGACCAGCACAACAACCACCTCTGTGGGACACTGCAAGTCTGCAAAACTTGCACACTTTCAATGCTAATTTTTTTATTCTCAGATGAGTTTATATCATTCTACAGATACACATCTCCTTCAGCCTAGCAGAGTAGTCCAAAAATCCAGCAGTGTCCACCTGAAAACCACACCTTGTAGAGAATGAGAATCCTATAGGTATGAGGGGTTTGCAGGATGGCAACCTGTTTGGTTTATGGATTTGTTAAATTATATAGCTGGTAGGAGTAGCTTTTCACTGTGACAAGATCAAACGCTCAACAGTCCTTGGGTAAGAAACTAATTAACCAGAGATCAGTATAAATTCCATAACAATACTCCTCCATAGACTATCTGCTTATGGAGAACCATTCTGGATTGGGGTGATAGTGTCCATACAGAAATATTTGACAGTACAAGTATTAGGTTTTCAGATCATAGATCTTTTCCCCTGCACTATTCACACGCATTTTCATGGCAGCTGGACATGCATTATACAGTTACAGGCTAAAACTTTCTCTGGTACATCTCTGTGACAGTAGAGACAAACGTGACACGGTGATTATCTCGTGAACAAAACAGACCTGGGTGTGTTCTGTCCCCATCAGCAAGTGGCACAGCAGAGCTTTTATATATGGCAAACTCCTCTTCCACAGCCACCCCCAAACAAAAAAGGGTGGCCAGCCTGAGGAACAGCGTCTCAGGGAGTGCTCAGAGGCAAAGGGCAGAGCTGTATCAGGGAATGCTCGAACCCAGGCCCTCTCCTGGGGCCAAGACAAAGTCACTTCTTTCACTCTAATTCCAGTACTTGTTGATTTCAGAAGACTGTAAAATTCAGTGTCTTCTGTCACTTGAAGCTGAAGTGCACAGCCTGGGTTTTCCACCCATGCTATGGGACATTGGTTGGGGTTTGCTCTGTTGCTGACAGCTTGAAATTTCTATTTGCAGCTCCTTCCTGTTTCCTTTTCAGACATGCATCATATAAACCCAGAGAAGCTGCACAAGTTTACCAAAATGGTGAGAAGAGAGGACATTCCTTACCACAATGAAACTTTTAATGTGCCTAGTCAACACTGAAGCAGCAGAGGCAGACCTGGGCAGGCATTTCCTGATCTCCTGTCAGGTGCCTGTAACCACATACCTTGGTGCCAATGGCTACCTGAAGTCCGTGTCCAGAGCTCCCATTCTTCCTGGGATACCACCCAGCATACTCAGACATCAGCACTTAGGGACTGGGACGCATGCAGGGGCATTTTTTTAATTTAAAATTTGCAGCACCACTGCTGCCTCAAAGAGAGTTGGGTCATATATTATGAGTGGTGAAAGGTGGCGTGCTGGGGTGGCATACATCTCATATGTCCCCAGCATGGGAAGAAACCTCTAGGAGAGGTCTACTCCCATTTCATAGGTAGGCCCCATGGGAAGGTGGGATTTGCTGCCTAGAGCCCATACCTGCCCACAGGGCCTCACAGTCCTGAGGTGTCCTGGCCATATGGCACCTAACTATGTCTGGGGACCTCCAAGCCATACAGCACCTCACCGTGCCTGTCAGAGAGCTGGTGGAGCCTGTGGCACTGTTCCACCTCGCTACAGCTCCACACAAGAGCTTGGGTTGTCTCCAGTAGCTCCTCACCCCACCCCATCA